AGTAACCTTTATGGCTGATTTTATTTCGCTTCCTATAGGAAAATTTCAGCTCTGTTAACCTAATCCTTATGTATTTCTCATTGTCTCCATTTTCGCCTTTATCTCAATTTTCGTCTTTCTTCTCTTGTGCCTTTTTTTGTCTTCATCGTTATCACTTGTTTCTTCATCTTCATATTTATCTTTATTTCAAAGTTTAATTTCAAATACGAAGTAAAACAAAATTGCTAAACAGCTTAATTGAACAGGTTGCAAAAACAACCATACACAAATATGGAAATTTTTAAACGACGATTTTCAACCAATTTCGAAACTATAAAAACTCTCCTCATCTACAGAAAATTACCTTTCCAACGGTGTTCTTGGTTTTGAAATCGGTAAATTTACCTTGGTCTTCATCTTCTACCGATAACAATATCCATAAACATATAGAAAAATACAACGATTGTAAAATCGATTAAATCATCGATAAATATAACAATCATCAGTATCGCTTATTGTACATATCGTTAACAAAATAAAAAATACTAAATCTATAACAAAATCAATTACCTAATCGATTATTATACCGATAACAATATCCATTATTGTATCGATAACAATATCGATTATTATATTGATTATTATATCGATTGCAATAGCGGTTATTTAATCAATAACAGTATCGATAATAATATCGATTATTTTATCGATAGCAATATCGATTATTATATCGATAAAAATATCGAGTTTTATATCGATAACAATATCGATCTTCATCCTCATCCTTGTCTTCATATTTATCTTTATTTTTGCATATTCCTCTCACCTTTACCTTAAAGTGTTTAAATTTACTCTTTTTGCCTGTACCTCTAGGCATCTTTGTTTTTGTTTTTCTTGCTTATTGTTTTTATTGTTTTTATTGCTTAGTGCTTTTATTGTTTAACTGCTGAGAACCATTTCCATGTGCATTATTCCCCTTGAATTTGACAATTTACTCCCAACCAACCAACTGCCGTTAAAGAAGTTTCACTTCATAAATTCAAGAAATGTTCTTACCCTTTCAGTTACCCTAATTCTTATGTATCTGTCGTTGTCTCCATTTTCGTCTTTATCTTCACTTTTGCGTTCCTTTTTTTTTACTTCATCGTTATCATTTATTTCTTCATCTTCATATTTATCTTTATTTCAAAGCTTAATTTTAAATGTGTAGTGAAACAACAGGCGAAACATGTCAAATTGAACATGTTGCAGCAACATCTATACACAAATACAAAATGTTTAAACGACGGTTTTGGCCGTAATTTTCAACAAATTGTGAAACCATAAAAACTCATCTACGGAAAAATGCCTTTGCAACGGTGTTCTTGGTTTTGAAATCGGTTCGGTAGAATCGCCAAACGAACGGAGACAAAATTTATGTTAGCGTATTAATAGATTCCAGATAATAACATAAACAACGGTCTCCCTTTTGTTTATAATAACCTCCTTTTTCTTAGTTGACGCTGCAACCACCTAATTTGGCCGAGTTTAACAAAGCTTCCGCTCCATACACTCACCACGGGCGTGATGAGTGGCATATTGAGTTTGGTTTATGTATTATTATTAATTGGTTGACCAGTGTTAGCAACAATAATTAAATCAGGCGTTTTGTTTACATCACCTCATTTTGTTTCAGGTATAAAGTAATTAACGTTTACCTAACAGACTATATAATTAAGCCATTAAACCTGAACGCTAATATATGGGAATTTTTAAATAACGAACAGCTGCAGGGAAAGGCATTAATAAGCCTTGATGGAAGGGGAGCTTAATAGCTTGGCGTTGATAATATTTGTGCAAGTATGAATCTCCCTTTTGAGCTGTGTTAAGTAGAATGACTAGTATATGTGTCTTAATAAAACCACATCACCCCTTTGTCTAGTTCTTTGGCTCGCTATATCCTTCAGTGCGGAGAACTCTACGAAAATAGTAGCTAGCTCGAGATCTAAAATGTCAAAAAACTATTCCAGTATACATTTTACATTAAAATCTCTACATGCCCTGCCTTGCTGTATAATTTTATAGCGCTGTCTGAAATAGGATGCGAGTCGATTTTGGCACTTTGGCTGAAGCGCGCGTCAAGAACGTTCGAGGATTTTCTTCCATCTACCACAACCTGATCAGTTTGGTTTTTCGTGCTTTGATCCGAGTGAATTCAAGTGGCTTTATACTAACTAGTTAAAATATTTCGTGCCGTTCCGTCGTCGGAGGTATTCTCATAATACTGAGCTTTTCCACTATTGGACGAAATATCCCTTCCCTCTGCCTACTCTTGCGTTAAAGCCGTCAGCCACAACTTTAGCATCGTGACTTAGGCAGCGCTCGTAATCTTTTCACAGACGCTCATAGAATTTATCTTTGGTCTTAGCGTACTCCTCCTTTATCGGGACATACACATGAATCAGGCCAATGGTATTGAATTTATTCCTAACACGGTTTGTAGTAATTCGTTCACTACTGGCAGTGAACTGAGATTAAAGATGTGAGAGTCGGAGTTCAGTAAAAATTAATTTGGAAATTTCAGAAAATTTTAAAGCTTTCAAACATTTCAACTTGTTTAATATTGCATCTTATATTTGTCATTTAAATTAGTTTTAGTAAACCGAAATATACGGGCAGTCTGAACAAGACCATATTGAAGCTTAGATATAAATATGTACTTCTGTTTGGCCTCTGAATTATATGACAGTATTAGACATAGAACAACAACTTACTGATACCAATAAAAAATTTAATCCGCTAAAACGTGCCTGACAAAAAACAACACCGATTGGCATGGCTATAAGTAATGAGAAAACACTTTTTAATGGTACATTAAAGGTAGAAAATAATATTAAATAGAAGTGTAAAATAATAAACAGAAAAATAATCTATATCATTTTCAATAAGTTAACAGTAAAGACAAATATTTTTAAAGCAGGTTTTCTAAATATGAACGAACTCGGACCTTAAGTACCAAATATATCGACTGGTGCGCCACCTATTGGCAAAATTTTAGACGGAGTTATTCCTTTTCAGGTTGTTAATGTACATTCTAAATATGAACTAAATCGGACTATAAATGCGTGCTCTGCATTTTTGCGTGTATCTCGACTCCTGCGCCACCTTTCATATTGAATTGTCATCGGATTCTGAGCCAACTGTGAAGTTTCAAGTCTCTACGTCAACGGGAAGTTGGTCAAAAATTGATTGCATGATTTTCCCCTAACAAACGCATACATACAGAGCAATTTAAATAAAAGCTTGTAAAAAGCGTGGGGTCTAAATATGCTTTCAAAGAAATATATTGTGGTTTTTTCAGTAACACAAGCCAACTAAATTTAACTATAAACTCTGGCTGCAAAATAACTTTACCGCATATAAAATGGTCTTCCGTATCCACATGTTCGCTAGCACGACACGTCTGGCCTAAATAACCCAACAAACATTTATGTTTGAGCTCAACTTGAGGTTCTATTGAGAACTAAGGTATTTCTCAAATCTCCAACGCTGTTTCTCAACAGTACCTCAAGTGGAGGATCATAGCGTTCTCAACAAAAAGGGCATTTGTCTTTGTATAAAAAAAGGACTGTTTCTCAAGTTGAGAAAATGCTAGCTCTCAATTTCAACTCCAATGTAATTCTCCAATTGGTCTCAAACATATCATTGAAATACTGAAATTGAAGTAGTAAAATACTTTATACATTTTTGATTGAAACGACATACATAGATGAATTTAAAAATAAATTTTTGATTTTATTACTCCTTTTGTATTATGTAGTTAAGCAAAATCGTATTACAATAATTCACTTCACTTTATACAGTCCGACAGTAATTTTTCCACTTGATTCACTTCGCGTTTTATTTTATTTCAAGATTATTTAAGGATACTTTGAAGATTATTTACTTTTTATTGGTAATTTTCCTCTTTAAATAGCTTTAGTTTTTCACTTGATAATTAAAAATTCGTTTCTCTATCACTTTTTACGTATCTGCGCGACGGTTAGAGATGAATTTGAGAAAGATGTTTGATATCAACTTGAGAACTATGAATTTCTGTAAGGTTGGATAAATACTTTTTTGGTGTTTATTGGGAAGATAGGAGAAGATCTACTCAACCCTTCCAACTGGATAGACCCTACTCCTGTTAGGGATGCATGAAAATCTAATCGGTCTACAATTTAATGAACATTATCCATATTCTTTTCGTGCATTGGCGAGAACCCGTCGACATTCGTTTCATCACAATTTTCTTTAGTAGATATCTAGCTGAACAGAAAGACGAATACCTAAACCGAATAAGTGGGAGGATCTCGTGGGAGATTCGTTGCTTTCTGCCTCGCATGGGAAGATTAGTCACATTGCAGTGAGGTTCTCGAACCTACCTAGAGCTCGAATTGTCTGAAAGATATGTTGCTTTGTCCGTATTACGTATTAACATTTATTTCCATATTGTTATTGAGCTTTATACCACGATTATGTTTTTTAGGAAAAATGGAAAAAGAAGTCTGATGAGGAGATGTGGTTATCTCTGAAATGTAAGCTACAAGTTCTACCGCTTGAACTTTGTTGCCTTTTCCATTTCTCCTTAAAAAAAAACCACAATCGTCCCGCAAAGCTCAATCACAATATTGAAATAGAAATCTTGCTTTTTTGTTTCACTACCCAGGTGCCCTTCTTATGGTCGTTACTGTAATAGGAAGGTAGCCTACCTCATAAATTAGTAAAATTTTGCTTCTGTTCACGCAAGCACTTGATCACATACAAATTGCCTGGATATTTTAAACGTGTCGAACATATAATTTCAATTGCCACACAAAATAATAATTATGCTTTTTAATTACACACAATGACATGGTAATTTGAAAGCATGCACGCTTATCTAAATAAATATTAATTTCCCTATTTTTGCTTAGACATTAATTATCTCAGCTCCCACCAAATGATAGCTCATAGTCTTTGCGTAATTCTCTCATTCAGTACATCCTCTTGAAACACTCGCAATGGACTCAAAAGTTAATTCCGCTGACATTTTCAGCTCATTATTCTTCTTTTGGCGTACTTTGGGCTTCACAACCACCTACAATAAGTATCTCATCGCTTTGTACGATGCATTTGTGACTACATTCGTCACATTTGCCTTTCCTGTACATCTTCTTTTGGGCGCAGCTTTTGCGGAAAGGAAGGAAAATATATTCATCAACTTGGCCATTGGCATTTCCGCAATCGCTTGCACATTTAAGCATTTCTTGTTGCGTCCACAACTAACTGAAATTCTATTTGTGAATGATATGCTGCAGCAATTGGATGAGCGCGTCCAAAATGATGAGGACATACGCTACTACGTTACGCACATACGCAGGAGATCAATTTTTATGATGCGCTTTTTTACTGTAGTGTACTTTTCAGTGGCAATCATGGCAGTGCTCTCTGCGTTGTGGACTGGAAAAATATTATATCCGGCATACGTTATCGTCGACTGGCATAGCTCAACCGGAAAATATTTGCTGGTGATGCTGTTTCAAGCATACGGTTTGAATATGGAAATCATACAGAATCTTACCAACGATACCTATGGCCCATTGGTATTGTGTCTGCTCTCGGGGCATGTGCACCTGCTCGCCAGACGCGTGGCCCGTATAGGTCATGACATCGACGGCGACACCGTGGAAGACAGCTATAGGGCGCTAGTGCTTTGCATTGACGACTACAAACTGCTAATGAGGTACTTGTGTAATTTCATAAAGCACATATTTATCATTTCTACTTGTTCTTTGTAGCACAACTAAGCAGGTGGAGCGCATCATCTCGTCCAGCTACATGGTGCAGTTTACCGCAGTTGGCATAAATGTTGTTGTAGGTCTCATCTATATGCTTTTCTATGCTGATAACCTCTTCGCTTACGGCTATTATATTTTTCATATTTTGGCCATTATGATTGAGATTTTTCCCTGTTGCTATTATGGCAGTTTGGTGCAGGCGGAATTCCATGCCCTATCGTATGCTATCTTTCGCTGCAACTGGTTGACACAGCCGCGCGAATTTCGTCGTAATCTTATTACTTTTGTGGAGCTGTCATTGTATGAGGTCACCGTGTCGGCGGGAGGTATGATGAGAATACATTTGGACTCATTTTTTAAAACCTGTAAAATGGGCTACTCATTCTTCACGGTCATTCAAAGTATGAAATAAGAACTAATGTAAGCATGCAAAGACAGTTTGGATTCTATAATTCTTTAGTTTACTTTGTTCTAAATATGTAATTCATAGTAAAATATACTGGTATGATTATACACTTCACTCATTCATTTTATTTTACCCTGCTTGTAAATTGTTTTGTTTTTAGCAGGCTTCCTAATACTTAGTTACTTTTGAGTTTACATGTTTTGAGAGTTACATAATAGGTTCTTTCCCTAACAATCCGTACCGGATCCGGTAATTAGAGAATAAGCGAAAAGTTTGCTCTCAAAAGTGGAACAAAATTCAGAAGTACGTGAACGCAAAAAAGCATATTTCGTGCCCAGAATTTGAGAAACAGCTGGAAATTGAATTTTGGTTTCAAAAATTTGATTTTAAGCATATAAAGATTTAAAATACATCAACCGGCCATTCACTATTCCTTAAAAGCACCAAGTATGTAAATGCAGGCAACATGTAAACACAAAACAGCTGATATGCACTTGAACACTTTATCAATTTTTAACCGGAGAAAAAGTCCGGGCTGTTTCGGGCAGGAAGAAGAAGACACTTACGATCCAATACGTTCCAGTTTTCGCTCTCTATTACCCATTTTGTTGAGTACGGGAATGATTTCTGGGCTGTTTTGGGCACCAGCGGGATACTACGGTGCGTACATATATGTATGTAGATATTGTCGAAAACTCAAAGAAACGTTTTTACAGAGAAGAATAATGTCCTTAACGATTGGCCTGTTAAAGTTTTCAAAATAATTATTTTGGGACTTTATTGTGCCAATTTTAGTTATTATTTTTTTTTAGCCATTAAGACGATAATTGGATCGGACTTATATTCAGGTGTCCTTTAATGGGTCCAAAATAAAAAATATTTCCCTAATCCTTCCTTTCCTTTTCAACGTTTAAAAAATTTTGGAGAGAGTGGTTTGCACATATTTCACTATCCTTGGCTCTTCCGACTAATGTTTTTTGCTTGCTTTTTACTTTATTGTCATTATACGCTGAGATTTTGCATAAAGATCAAGCAATTTATGATTTGTGTTTTCGCACTCGCGGGTTTTCTTTCTTGTGTTTTCCTATTCTTTAAAGCCGACATTTCCTTTGTAAATAAAGTATATTCTGCAAAAGAGTATAGGCATGAACCTGATATCTTCTCGTTGCCGTACTTGAATAGCTGAGCTGGCAGGCTTTCAGCTCCAGCAGCCTTTTCGTTTTTCAAGTGCGCTATTGCTATTCGTACCTCGCCATATTCAGGTGGTGGTATATCGACTACATCATCATCAACTGGGAGCTCGGGTTCGTTTTCTCCACAGCTTTCAGTACTGCTACCATTTAGTAGGATGGAAAAGTGTTCCCTCCATAATTTAAGTACGTTTTGATCATCGGTAACTAAGTCGCCATTGTTGTTCTTACAGGAGTACGCCCTGCTGGTCTTGAAACCTTCTGTAAATCGCCTAACTCTCTGGTAAAATTTTCGAGCATTCTTCCGGTCGGCCAGCATTTCAAGTATTTTGGCCTCTCTCTTCTTATTGCAGCAAATACGTCTCGCTTCCCTCTTCAGTTCCCTATAGCGGTCCCACATAGCGCGCGAACGCAGCGTGGCCCTGTAGGCGGAATCTTTTTTCTCTGCAGCTTCCTGACACTCCTCATAGTATCAGTTAATCTTTCGAGCTCGCTGAAATCCGCAGGTGTTACCTACCTAGTGAGCGGGAAATGTGGTTCCACTGCTCGCATATGTCGGTCTGGTGAAGAGTGCTCTCTGATAGCAGGTGTGAGAGCCTAGTAGCGAATGCATTGGCTGTCTGTTGTGATTGCAGCTTTTCATTGTAAAGCTTTCCTTGCATTTTTGGGCGCACATTTTTTCTGTACAGAGGAAGGTGCGTATCTTGGCTGCAATAATTCGATGTTTGGGCCTCGGAGTGTACGTACGTCCAAAACACTGGAAGCATGCCTTCTGTCTATCGCAACATGATCGACTTGGCTTCTCGCGTTTCGATCTGGAGACAGCTATGTAGCTTGATGGATCTTTTAGTACTACATACTACCATTTTTCGGGCCCCGGCGAAGTCGATGAGCCTCATTCCATTGTCGGACGTATCGTCGTGGAGGCTGAAATTTCTTTCTGTGCGCTCCAAGCGGTAATAGAAGAGATCCTTGGACATCTCGTCCTTCTCTTCCGTCGGGGCATGGGCGCAGATGAGCGAGATGTTGAAGAATCTCGCTTTGATGCGGATTGTGGCTGGACGCTCGTCCACCAGGGCGAACGACATGGCAGCTGTAGTATACTTCGCAACAGGGATGAAAAAGTAGGTACAATTGTACCTTTTTCCGACGTTTGATGACTTAAAGGTACATTAGGTACAGTCAGTCGATTTTAGGTACAATTATTATTATTGACCCATATTCGTTTTTGATTTCTAGAAATATTTTTAAAATACTTTCCAAGGTACTTACGGCAATTTGATTATTTTCTATAGACTTGTTACACCTATTAAAAAGAATCCGATAAATTAGCAGACTTTTCGTGTTGTTGCTGGATAAAGAAGTATACTTCGCAAAGCGTGTTTTTTGTCTTTTTCTCCAATATTTTTCAGTAGTCAAAGTTAGACAAAACAACGCTTCTCCGATTCCCATTAGACTATAGTCATAGATATAGGCTCAGTTGAAAAAAAAAACATAACCATGTTTAAAGTACATCCATCTTTTGTATTCATGTTTTAAATAAAATTTATAAAAAAAAAACTACAAATGAATTATATAACTTTTTTAGGTACAATCTGTCTCATTTAGGTACATATATTTTATGATATTAGGTACAATCTGAAATTTCCATTTTTCATCCCTGCTTCGCAAGGCCCCAGGCACTGCTTGTCTTGCCATGACCAACGCATTTCTTGGATCAGCTTTTGTCTTTACAAGGACATCAACTAGCCGGGCAGAGGCACCTTCCTCTTTAAGGGTCCGGACATTCCAAGTGCAGGCCCTCAATTCGTAGTCCTCTAAATGTTTGCCGTGGTCGTCATCAAAAGGGGGGGGGGGGGGGGGGGGATATCATCCGAGGCCTTTCTGTTTCATTGCAGCCTGTTTTTACGTGGCGGGTCCCAAACCCAGCGCACAACCCATTGCTGGGACGGGGGTGGTTCGCAACCAGATACACGTTTATATAGGGAGGCGCTTGGTCCAAGACAGACAGCCAAGACAGGCAGCCGCGCCTACTGGTGAACAGACGCTGCAGAATTCAGTGAGCCCTTCAGCCGAATAAGTCGGAGTGGCCCCACTGAAGCTCCCTCTCTTTCTGCCGTGACCCAAGGCTCCACCCGGGTTGGTTACCGCATCTCGCACATGGGTTTCTAACGGTTCCCAGAGTGCGTGAACGAGGACGCAAGAGTCGGTATTGAGCATGGACGTACAACTGTAACTGCATACACAGCGCAATGACTATACCCCATTGCACTCCAATTCATCCAATTTCTCGTAAGCAAAATCGACATACTTAAATTTTCTTAACAAAAACAAAATTTTACCAAATATAAAAAAGAAATCGGTTGGGAATCAATAACTAAACGGTCAGTTGCCTACTAAGTTTAAAGTAGTACTTGGCGGAAAAAAATTATTCTTCGTTGCATTGCAAGGCTGACACTATTTTTGGTGTTAATTCTGGTTTCTAAGTAAACGAAATCGTTTACTTTTTCGAACTTATAACTGTCTACAGTGGCGTGAGTGTTGACACGTGTATGCTCCGACAGTCCGTTTGATGACAAGAGATACTTCGTTTTGTTCTCAATCCCCACTAGACCCAGGTGCTTTACTCCTTTGTCTAAATTTGCTAAGGCAACTCAACCCTATTTTAAGCAGCGGTATTAGTTTCCGGGCGATACCATATTCAGACATCGCGTGTTGTCGAAAGCGGTTTTGAAATGGACAAATATTTAAATAATTATTCCATGATTTTTTGATTTTTTCGATCAAAAACAATGATTATTTGATGATTTTTATTTTTTCGCTCAAAGATAATAATGATTACTGAGTTTTATTTTTCACTTAAGGATAGTGATCATTCAAAGTACTCAGAAGCTATACCAGCGTGATTTCCGACGTATTCTGTACAGAGGTAGCGACACCCTAATAAAATGATTAGGTCCAAAAATTTTCAGGTCAAAATTTCAGTAGATTGCGTCTGTATGGCCTTTTCAATTTCATAAATAATTATTTATATATATATGATATATTATTTATATATTACTATAATCATTATTTTTAAGTGGAAAAATAAAACTCAATAATATCTTTTTTTTTTGGGGGAAAAATAAAAATCATAAAATAATCATTATTTGTGATCG